TTCAGATAGCGTGATGGCCGAGCTGGTGGTTGATGATGTCGTTTGCAATGTGAGGCCCTGTTGTTAGCGGAACCCAATTCGGTACTATGTCTTGGTGCTTCGAGAAGCAGTGGCTTCATGCCGTCGGGGGGCTCACTAACGTCAAGGCCAGTTCAACGTGCCATCGGATGAGATCAATTGCGTGCACATCCGGAACCGGCATGCATCGACATCGCGCTTGCCAATAACTCTCATCTTAGATGACAACGATCTCAGTGTGACAGCGGACGAGCGAAGCCCCCGTCGGTGGCGATGCCAATGGCGTGGGGCGAGAGAAGACGCGAAAAACGGACAAGAGCTGAGGAGCCTGTGAAGGGGAAAACAGAGGATCGGGCCCCTTTTTTCTTCCTCCAACTGGGAAGCGGGCCCACATTTCAGGGCCTGGTGGTGGAAGGAAAGAAGGGACAAAACGTAACCCCCCTGACTTTGATGAAAATCTGCTGCCTCCAAGATCCATTCACAGCATGTGCAACGGGCGTCTGGTTGGTGCAGTTGTGTATACAGTAGCCTTGATTGCAGCTGCGAGTATCCTCGGCGAGGGGAGGGCCTGGTAACGAAGATGCTTGCTTTTCGGAGAGAGTCGCCGGCTCCTGACTCAATGGCCCGTCAATAAGATTGGCCGCATCCATACAATGGCCTGCATCACCGAATGCTTTAGTTCAAGGCTGCCGCATCTGTCGTAGGGTACCAGGTTTGATCTCGGCTGTGGCCCGTTCGAGCCTCCCCGAGATCGATCTCACAGCGGACTTCTCACCTCTGGCCGTTCGTCTCGCCCTGAGTCTAGCGGCTTGCGCTCCTCGACTGCCTGGGAAGAACCATGAAACGAGAGAAGACCCCCGCAAACCGGGTTACTGTTCGATCCACTGAACACACCTCTCAATCACAAAACTGCATTCTTGTCCTGCCTATTGTTGACGACATGACCCGGGCAGTAAGCAAGCATTGGCTGCAACTGCAGTGAGGGAGTGGAGGGGAGGGGAAGCTTTATCGATAAGGACCCCTGCGCGAGCCCCTCCAGCTGAGAGGTCTGGACCACCTCAAATCAAGGCCAAGCGACGACGATACAGGACACACGACACGCTGATCATCTTGGGTGCACATCACTTTCGTCCACCGCAAATAACTCATAAGACTGTTCAACTGGACGTCACAGTCTTCAGGAGCTTGCAGCAGTCTCTCGACTGCCCCTAACGTGACACACATGTAAGTTGCTGTCTGGTACTCGACCCACCCCTCTCGGCATAGGTACTGCCTAGAGCCCCTCAACTATTCCTTCTCCATCGCCTGCCGCCTTGCTGCTGACACGCCACCGCACGCGTCTGCTTGAGACCTCAGAAACCGCCCTTCGTCTTGGTCCTGAAATATGATGCTTCTCCAGGCCGTGCTAACGTAATGTGCTCTTCGTAGTCTGCTCCGTCATGGTGGTTGATCAGAAAACGGCCCCCTCCCTGGGCGGAACCCAGGTTGGCGGTGGCGCCAGCGAGACGCAGCGAATTGTCAAGACGCTGAATGATCCTATCAAAAAGCATCTGAGAAGCGTATTCAACTCCACTGCCGGCGCAGACGGGGCGGTGGCAGCAAGAGGAAATCGTCTCATTCTTGAAGAACGTCCAGGGGCGACGCCCACGACACAGATGCTCACCCAAGCAGCCCGGCATCGCTTC